TTTCCATAGGTGACTCCTGGTTGACTTTTACTCGATCGTTCCGTCCCTCCTTCTCGTTATCGGAGTTCTGGTGGTGCGCGCGCGCAGGTCCTCGCGTTAGTGGTATGGTGAGAACGTCCGCGGGAGCGGAACGCTTGCAGGTTTCGGTGTGCCAATTTCATGACGCTGGGAGATGGCGTTTGAGGTTCGTCAGTTCGTGCGTCGACGGTCCACGGCCCAGGAGGGCTCAGGAGGCGTGCACATCGCGTACGAGGCCTCCAAAAATGCCCCGAGAAAGTCCAGAAAGCCGCTGGTAGAATTGCCGAGAGTGTGTCGCATTTGCGTGAGGCCCCAGGAGGCTCCGAATAATTGTCTTGGCATCATGAAGGGCCTCATGAGTGGCCGAAATCCACAGGTGCTCTACCGTTGTAGTCGCTGTTGCCATTCTGGCTCACAGCGCTGCGGTGTGGTTGTGAGTCGTTGGGGCTCCTCGTCCTTCGTGATGTAAGCTCGAGGTGTGAGTCGTTCGGGCAAGTCGTCCTGGCGTGAGTCGTTCGCGCGTCTCCCTGTGTGTGAGTCGTTCGGGCTCCCTGTGGTGTGCCTCGTATGGGCCCTGCGTCCTGATGTGCGTCGTTCGGGCGCCTCCTTGTGTGTGAGTGTGCGAGCGCTGTACCAGCGCGTATTGATCGCTGCTGTAATGGCAAGGTCTTCCATCCCCGCTAGAAACACCATGCGTCTCCATGCAGACGAGATCTGCGCGAGAAGAAGCGTAACTCTGCCCGCCTGCCACAATCAGGAAGAGACGTTTCCGTAACCACCCTCCACAGGGGGCCGGCCCTGCCTTTGGAATCTCATCGTGTGGTAACAACGGTGTCTGAGGAGGTAATGAGCATAGGTCACCCAATGTAACAGCAATCATAATGAACACTATGCGTAATCTCCATATACTAATGAGAATGATGTCAACCGAGCTGCTGGCCCGAGCCCTCCCCCCTGCAGTGCCCTGGATGGCTCGCCTTCGTCAAAACTCATGTCTACGTTGCTCTGTGCTGAGTGGAGGCCTGTGGGTAAGAACTAGACAAATTCGAACTGCACAGGGAGCGCAAGACAGAGCTAATGCAGGAGTTCGGTTGTCAGTGCGTCGCAGATAGGTGAATCGATCCAGCTCCTCGTGGTGTGAGTCGTTTGGGCCCTTCGTTCCTCTTGGTGTGAGTCGTTCGGGCTTCTCCTTGTGTGTGAGTCGTTCGGGCTCCTCGTAGTGTGAGTCGTTCGGGCCCCTCCTCCTGGTGTGAGTCGTTCGGGCCCCTCCTTGTGTGTGAGTCGTTCGGGCTCCTCGTGGTATGAGTCGTTCGGGCCCTTCGTTCCTCTTGATATGAGTCGTTCGGGCTTCTCCTTGTGTGTGAGTCGTTCGGGCTCCTCGTAGTGTGAGTCGTTCGGGCCCTTCCTCCTGGTGTGAGTCGTTCGGGCCCCTCCTTGTGCGCGGTCGTTCGGCCTCGTGGTGGTATGAGTCGTTCGGGCCCGTCGTCCTGGTGTGAGTGGTTCGGGCCCCTCCTTGTGTGTGAGTCGTGCGGGCTCCTCGTGGCGTGAGTCGTTCGGGCCCGTCGTCCTGGTGTGAGTGGTTCGGGCCCCTCCTTGTGGGTGAGTCGTTCGGGCTCCTCGTGGCGTGAGTCGTTCGGGCCCGTCGTCCTGGTGCGAGTGGTTCGGGCCCCTCCTTGTGGGTGCGTCGTTCGGGCTCCTCGTGGAGTGAGTCGTTCGGGCCCCTCGTCCTCGTGTGAATCGTTCGGGCCCCTCCTTGTGTGTGAGTCGTTCAGGCTCCTCGTGGTGGAAGTCGTTCGAGCCCCTCGTCCTGGTGTGAGTCGTTCTTTGTCCTGGGAGTCGAGACAAGGGACTCGGCTCCACAAGGGGGCCTGACAACGGTTAGGGTCCACATGGGTTGTGCCATCAGAGGGTAGAAGGCATTGCGATTCCCCAGCGATGTTCCGTAGACATAGTGGTACAAGTCTAGTTGGCTCAAGCCATTCTGGACGAGTGCCCGTCCAACTGCTTCTCGCTCTTCTGTGAGCTCCGCGCACCGCTGGTGCAGTGAGTTTCGCTCCGCACGGACGCTGGTCTTCGCAGCAGCTGAGGGGCGCGCGGCAGAGTTCACGGAGATGCCAGTCGTAGACTTACGCAATGTTCACGCGCCGTTGCCTCGGGCGGCGCGGGACTTGCAGGGGGTGACGATGGAGACGATGCCTACGGCTGGAGACGGCGCGTGTGCCATTCATTCTGTGTGGGGCGAATGGGAGAGGAGCGAGCTGGTGAAGCGTGACGCTCGCGCTTTTCTCCGGGAAACATTCGGCCCCACCCCTGACATTTTCAAATCGAGGCTGTCGTCCGAAGAACTGCTGGGCGACATGGAATGGGCACCCTGGGATTTGATCCAACCTTTTGCGAAGCAGTCGGACCCCTTCGGTGCTCCGCTGCAGGCGGGAGACAACGAAGGTCAGCACGTGTGGCACTGCCTGCTGGAATCCCATTTCGACGTTGCTCAGCGCTGTGTTGAGGCATGCCGGGAAGAACTGCAAAAGTTCGAACTGCACAGGGGGCGGAAAACAAGGATCATGCAAGAGTTTGGTTCTCTCTGCGTCGGAGATTTTCAGGATGTCTTCATAATGCCTTTGATGCGATCCCTGGGCTCGTTGGATAAGTACACGGCAGAAGCATCTGATGAGTTCTGTGGAGGGCGCCGCCTGAGCAAGTACGAGGCGCTGTTCGCGGGAACCGCTGGCGCTCGAGAGTGGCGCAGAAATGTCGTTGAAGATGCATGCCTCCGGAACTCATTCGATTTGTTTTTCAGTAAGATTCACGACGTGGTTGACGGCCTCGATTTCGACGGCGGCGTCGACCTGGAACCTATAACGGCTTTCGCAGCGTCTGTGGAGAAGGCCAGAGAGTGCAACTACCAATCTGTGGGGCTGCCCGCCAATTTCTTCAATGCTGTCTACCCTGCCGATCTGGAAGCCATGAGTACGCGCGCAGATTATTATCTCAGCGATATCGAGCTGCTGGCGCTGGCGCGTTGCAAGAGGCAGAATGTAGTTATTTTCGTCAACTCCTCTTCGAGGCACGAGTTGACATACGCACGTTCGCACGTCGGAGACCCGAGCCTGCCAGTGGTGGCCACGTCCCTTCGAGATAACGGCGGGCAGGGTGCCGTCCGAACACATTTCGAGCGGCTGCGGGCATGCCCGCAAGAGCAGTTGCCTGAAAGGGGAAGAAGCCCGGGCGGCGATGGCTCCACTGGAGATGATGGGCACAGAGAGGCGAAGCGCCTGATAACCCAGAGTGACAGAGCCCCGGCACGACCCCCCGCCGAAGAGAGAAACGGTGGAGACGGGAACGATGGAGCGTCGGGGCAAGTGACGCGGCAGGATGATGGGAGTGCCGTGGCCAAGCGAGCCAGGACAGTGGAGGAAGTCAAGCGAGAGCAGCATGGCCAGAGTAACGAGTGCGCTCCGCTGCCGCCGCCGCCGCCTGGAGCGCGATTGGCGCAAGCTCTGGATTGCAACTGAAGCAGGCTTTCGAGACTCATAGTGGATGTGATGCCAGTTGCGACGATCACGTCCATGGTGCGGTAAGCCCAGGCGCAGCCTCGGCAATGCCAGCTGGCGCCGCGAGGGAAGGAGGTCAGTGCGTCGCGGACATGCTCGATTTCTTTTGGTTCCAGCTCCCAGGAAATGCAGGAACGCCGGCGGTGGAGGCAACTGACAAAGACCAAGGCTTCGCTTCGGAGTCAAGCGAAAGTGCCGGCGAGGAGTCTGAAAGCGAAGGGGGCGACGGCGTGGAGGAGCAATATTTTGCAGTTCGCGCCAATGCTGAGCAGGTCGGTGGAGTGCCTGTGGAAATGGATGTGATTGATGGCCGCTGCCGTGAGCTACGCAAACTCATGCGAGAACGGCCCGCGCTGCCGCTGAGAGCTGACGGCGGAAGCTTGACAGTGGCTGACCTGGAAACTGGAGTGAAGTTGCCGTTGTACTCGTGTCCTTTCCAGAACACCCAGAGCGGGTCTTGCCTCTTTCACACAAATGACCGAACAGTTTTCCTGCATCATATTGCTGGGGGCATCATGGATCGCACGCATGCCTGTATGATACGTGAGATTTGCAACAACGACATTCCCTGGATGACGAATTTGGATTACGTATACGGGGCCATGGCCGTTGCCGAACGGGAGCAGTGGCCAATGCTGGGTCTGTCGACATATCGGCGAGCCCTGAACCTGCTCGCTCTGCGGTACAACGACGAGACGACGAGATGTCTGGCCTGCTTCATATGCGGCCAACTTCGCACGACGTGCGCAGGGTACCCGCCAGTAGATCTGGAGTCGAGTTCCATGTCCTTCGCGTCTGGCAACGTCGAGGTTAGATATTGGAAAGAGGTGGCTTTTCAGAACGTTGAAAGGAAACTCCCTGGGACGCTGCTTAATAATTGCGGGTTCGATCTATGGCAGAAGCGGTATGTGGATCGGGGCGCAGAGTCAAGCAAGGCGTACCCGTGGAGAGGACAAAAGCTGTTAAGTGAACCGTTGGGCACCTGTCTCGAAAGCCAGGAGCGCCACGTGTCTCGGTGGGCCGTCCAGTTCAGTTTCGAAGGCAGATCAGGGAAGTTATTCGGATGTACTGAGGACGTCAGATGTCCCGCGTGTCCCGACAGACATTCGGAGGATTGGGAGACGCCGCCGTTCTGTAGGAAACTGTGCCCGCCGTGCGAGGTGCCAGTCTGCCGCGACTGCACAGGGAAACTCAGGGATCACGAGGCGGCATCTTCGTCCTTCGACGGCGGGACCATCCCCATGAGCTTAGCCAACGACCATTACTACGGCCACGTGAGTCGATACATTGTGGATAACGACGTCACGTGGCTGGAGTGCGCGGCGTGCTGCACGGTGTGGAGTACTATGTTGGTGTATTACCTGGAGGGAGGCCCCGTATGGCAATCTCATCGACGTGCCGCTCGGCAAGCCCGAAGCCAGAACGCAGGTGAAGGGCAATCTCTTCAGCTTCTCCATGCCCTGGGACGACATCGAGAGATGTTGTCGCGAAGCTTCTCAGCGCGCCGAGGAGATCCACGGGGGCCGGCTGAAGTTGCTGCAGGATGCTCTCGGAGTGCCACATTCGGAGGAAACGTTGGCGATGCTGGTGAACGTGCGCATCAAAGGGGGCAGCAAAGACCTGGCGCAGCACCTGAAAAGGCTGACGTTGCGCATCCCCGTAATGCGCAAATTGATGGAGCTCATGCGCGACAGCGGCTATCCAGGGTATGGCAACAACGGCTTGAACTCATTCGACAGAGTGGCAACCCGCCTCCACGAAAGATATTCCCAGAAATACGCAGAGACATACGGGGAGGCGAAGTTCATCCCGCAGGCAGTGCAGGATGCGGTGCAACAGGTAGACGGGGCTAAGATTCCCTCGTTCAAGACAAAGTGGCGACGCCTCCAGAGCTGGCAAGACGGGTGCAGGATTTCGTCTCTGCGTTGAGTCCGTCCTCTATCGTCGCTGAGCGGAGCACCAGAGCCCAGTCGAACATCTCGGAGAATTACAAGTCCGTGTTTGCCAGGTTCGGCGATGTCAACATCCAGAGTGGGACGGACCTGACGAATCAGCATGCCGCTTGGTACCTGGGCATGGCGTTTCTTTTCACGCTTCCGCGTGCTGTTGGCGGTCACGACGTCCCGCACCAACCTCGTTGGCGTCGACCAGAGACGAAAGATCCCCCAACTCCACGTGGGCTTCTGCACAGGTGGCTCGAGCCGTCAGTGGGCGTAGCCCAGCGGAAACTACCGAACGCGCATTTTGCAATGGGGCCAGCGACCACAGTGAGGTGTTTGATCTCACGCGCGGCTTGCCGCAGCGGATAGAAGGCCAGTTCCGACGCACTTGGGGCTTCGCGCCGGCCTTGTGGAATCTATATTTTCGTGAACGTGTCAATCTCGGAGCAAGCCTGTTCGTTCAGCGCCTGCGCCAGTTCGCCACGCTGAAGGAGATCGCCCAGAAAATCGAGGAAGGTCTCGTGAATGCGACGGAGCTGAAGCATTTCCTCGGGCAAATCTGCTGTGAGAGATATCCCGACGTGGACCAATTTGTTCGAGAGAGGACTTCGCTGGAGCAGAAATTCCCGACGTATTCGGAATCGTCCGAATGCTCTGGATTGCCATCATGGGGGGAGTTGAAGTTGGGACGATTGCCTCGGTTCTTGTATGATGGCGCGAGAGCCGGTGTGGGCTCGTCACCGCAGGGAGCTCCAGGGGAAGCTCAGAAGCTCGGCCTGAACTGCGACGGCGCCACCTTCAAGGTGAAGTTCAACGGCGCTCTGCAGTATTTCATGCGTCGCTGCCAACACCATATACATCGCCTGGTGATGGATTCGAAAACCCAGCAGGAGAAGCGTTTGGTGCCCAACGCCTGCGCCTCCAAGGAAAACAAGAGAGAGTGCAAGCACGAGGCGCCGTGGACCAACAGAGTGCCCCCCGAGTGGATGACAACTCCGCTGCTGGTTTGCAAGGGCATCGCCAAGAAGTTCACGTTGCGCACAACCGGAGTCCGAAATTGGCTGGGGCAAACTCTCGGACTGCGCAATGAGGAGTGGCTGAATGGGTGCATGCCGGGCCTGTGCGTCGCTTTTGCAGGGAGCAACAGTGACGTGAAACCCAATGACCGACTGCCGATCATCGAGCAAACGCATGAGGCTTGCTGCAGGAAGAAACGCTGCATCATGCAGAAGCAGAGTCTGGGGGGAGCCACTCGAGCAATTCAGCGCTCGCAGGTAGTTGCGAATGGATATTTCGGGGGATACATTGGCAAGCGACAGCCCGCAGGCACTTTGGAGACTAAGAAATGCGTGGGCAAGCTTTTTACCTTGAGGGCGACGATACAGGGCAGGGGGAAAGCGGCGCAGCTCAGAGCAAGCAGCGGGAGGCTGATAACGGAACTCGAGATGAACAGCACGTACCGCGGCGCTGTGGAAGTCTGCAACCTGTGCTGCAATCTGGATCAGAGCGACCTCCTGAAGGCAGAGTACATTCGGACCCTCCAGGAGCATGCGATGGATGGGCGGGCGTGGATGAACAGGTTGGAAACATCTCAGAATTCGTCGCAGATGAAGGACAGGAGCGTGACGACGCACGCGCCGCCGGCTCGCAAACCTCACGTACGGACGGACCGATCCAGAGTGAACGAGTTCGACGCCTACGGATGTCGCCCTCTGCAGCACCCTTGGAAGTTGTTGTCGGCGTACGAGTTCCTGCGGCAGTGGAGGTGCGAACCACTACTGGTTCCGACACACTACTTGAACGGCAACCTGCCACCGCGAACTGCGTGGACACAAGGAGGTGAACAATTAATCGGGAGCAAACAGTACAAGGATGGAGAAGTCGCCGCGAAGCCTGGAGAGCATTACATCGTAGTGACACCCGAGACCGACGAGTATTTCGTTTTCCCGCATGACGCAGGCGTCTTCTGCCACTCCTGGGTTCTGGTCAGGAAGGCGAGGCCGGACGTGGTTGTCATCGAAGGCTTGCCGATGACCAGCGTACACAAGAGTTCTACCTACAACGCTCAGTATTGCAGTCTATTTTCCCGCCCTTGGACGCTCTATGGAGGAGACGTGTTTGTGCCTCACCTGAGTATGTTGGGGATGGAGTCTGCGGTACTGCGGCATTGGCAGGAGGCCCAGCATCAGTCGCCCCAGGTTCGAGCTTCGTGTAGACTGACCAAGAAGACAACCTCAACAGGGACGCCATCGACGCAGGACAGCGCATTCTGGAAGACCGCTTGGGACGAGTACGTGCGCGGGAACGTTGTCAGCCAGGCAGCGGCGAAACTCATCCAGAGTTTCCTGCTCAATACGATGGCGTCGTCTGGCAAGGCGGCAGATGATCAGAGCGAGGCAGATGCGTCGGAGGAAGAGCAAGATATGCCTCCGCTGAGCCTCCCTGGTGGAAAGTTTCAACAACTGCTCCAATCGGCTAAAGACGAGGACAGCCTCGGCGAGAAGTGGGCCGCCTCGGCGAAAGCGAAGGTGAAAGCTTCGGAGAACAGCCGAGTGAAGAAAAGTGTTCGACTTCACGAGTACGAACAAAGCCATCGCATCGGAGAGCGAGTGTGGAAACGGAACCCTCTGGCGTCGAGGCTGGAGACCGTGCGTGTCCGGGACATATCTTCGAGGATGCGTGCCAGGACCACCTCGCAGCTCTATCCGCAAGTGGCACGAGCCAGAAGGCACACGATGCTCCCTTCGACGAGAAGCGAGTTGCTGCTGTTTCGTTCAACCCTGCAGGGAATGACTTCACCAGCATGGACAAAGCGTTTGCTTCCATATTGGCGAGCTCGAAGATCCCGAACGAGAAACAGCGCCAGTTTCTCGAGCACTTCGTTCGACGTTTGAAGATTGAGTGGCTGGAGAAGCAGCAGGGCAACGTGAACCAGAATGCCGAGGAGCCTCTGCTGGACGTAGTGCACGGATTTCCGGGCACCGGAAAAGCCGTCATTGGCTGGATGCGGTACTTAATGGAGGAAGGTCTCGGTCGGGAGCACGGCGTTCAGTTCGTGTGCTTGGCGTTTCAAAATGCCATGGCGGCGCAGATCAACGGCCACGCGGTGCACCACTGGAGCGGCATCCCGGCGCGGAACGACGACGGGAATGCCACGGGCGACAGGCGCAAGCAGCCCATGAAGTGCGGGGCCCTGCGCGTGATCATCATCGACGAGGTCCCGAGGGCACCGAACGAGTCACTCCATGGAGTACATCGTTCGTTGCCCTCGACGTGGTGTGAGTCGTTCGGGGTCCTCGTGTGTGGGTTGTTGGGGCTCCTCCTCTTGGTGTGAGTCTTTCGGGCCCTCCGTCCTGGTGTGAGGCCTTCGAGCTCCTCCTGGTGCGAGCCGCTGGAGATCTTCGTCCTTGGGTGAGTTGTTCGGGCGCCTCCTCCTGGTGCGGGTCGTAGGGGTCTGTGGTCGTGTGAGACGTTCGGGCCCCTCGTCCTGGTGTGAGTCGTTCGGGCTCGACGTGCTGTGAGTCGTTCGGGGTTCTCGTCACCTCGAACGGCGGCGTCTGGGCAAATCGTGCTGTATACCTTGTGCGTCCCAGGCGTTTCCATGTTTGCAGGACCTGTGGAGGTAATGGGCATAGCTCAGCGCACGCAGAAAAATATATACGCGCTGTATGCAACATGTCCAGGTGAGCATGATGTCCGCGGAGTTGCTGGGCACCCTGGAACGAGTGGTCAGCGCCGCTGTCCGTGTGAGGGGCACGTACAAGAAGAGGGCGGGCGAATTGCATCGCGCCTTCGGGGGAGTAAACGTGGTCATGTGCGCTGATCTTTGGCAGTTGCACCCCGTGACGGGCACCTTCCTGGCATCCAACCCTCTGGACGTGCCCGCAGGGTGCGCGCACCGCGCGTTGGAGCTGTTCTGGCAAGACGGCGTCGACAGCGTGCGATCTTTCTGGCAGTTGACCGAATTGATGAGGTGTGACGATGCTTGGTATAACTCGTTTCTGGGCCAGTGCAGAGTTGGAAACCTCAGCATGGAGGACTACAGCTACTTCCACGGACTCCCGACGTTGACGTCCCCGAGCGCGGGTAAGTGCGTTTGCAACGACGACGTGGTGGAAGACCCAGTACTGGGCCCGTATCGCAAGACTTGGGGGGAGCGCTTTTCAAGAGGGTGCGCCGACATGGCGGCGCTTCTGAAGTCGTCAGAGGGCGAGTGCGAGGAGTGCCGTGCGGAGCGAGGCAAGAGACACAGGGTTCTGACCGACACTGACTCGCTGGCGCCAGAGCTTCGCATGAACCCATTCAGCGGCGCACCTGCTCTGTACACCTTCAACGTGCCCAGGTACTTCGCGACGAACCTGCGCGCGAGGGAGTTTGCCAAGCAGAAGAACGTTCAGCTCTCGTGGTGCTACGCTCGAGATGTGCCGCTGCATCCGGGAGATCGCGATCTGCCGAAGGAGAAATTGGACGAGAAGTTATTCTCCTGGCTGAAGAGGCACGACAAGGAGACGGGCAACATTCCGAGCATCTACCCATTGGCCAAAGGCATGCCCATTCGGTTGACGGACAACGTCGGTCGTAGCAGGCAACTGTACAGACACCGAAAGGGAGTGATTTACGGATGGACTCTGGCGCCGGATTGCAGTCCCCAGGAGATTGAAGGCGAGTTCGTATTGGATAGGTTGCCCATGGTTATCTATATCCATTCCCCAGAAGCACAGTGGAGCATAGGCAAGCTGACGACGGGCGTATACCCGTTGAAGCGAAGATCCAGGACATGGAAAGTCAACAAACACACGGGCATCGAAGCTCGACGCACGGGCTTCTGGATTCTCCCCGACTTCGCGTCCACCGCTCACATGATCCAGGGGGCGACGTTGGAAGCGGCATTCGCGGACC